GTCGTTCGAACTTCGACTTCAATGCAGCGCAAATAGAGAGAGAGAGAGAAGAATGGGAAGACGTCGGACCTCAGATAGACGGCGACACGCACAAACCAGAGAGGCTGAAATCATTTTATGGTAAAAAATGCCCAAATTCAACAACGAAATTAGCACTCAAAATTTCACACCAAATCTGAAAACCCAAATTTCAAAAATACTCCAGAAACCCCCAATTTAAAAACCTAAATTTCGCAAATCGTGTGACTGTGCGTGGTATGTGTGTGCGTGATCTCTGTGTTTGTGTGTGTGTGCTCGTGATGTCTGCGTGTGGGTGTGTTATTGGAGAGAGAGAGAGAGAGAGGAGGGGTAGCTGGGCGACGGCAGAGAGAAGGAGACATGGCAGAGGCTTGATCTGCTTCTTGTGTGTGTCTGTGTGTGTGAGAGAGAGAGAAAGTGAGTCGTGAGAAAAAGAGAGAGACGCCTGGCTTGGGAAGGAGAACACCTCTCTGCCTTGAGTTTTGTGTTGGAATGGGGGGGATTTGGTTTTTGAGTCGTGAGTCTTTGGATGAGAGATTTTGAATTTGAGTGAGATGAAATGTGACCTTCGAATTAGAGACTTTTGAATTGATTTGAAACTGTTGGATGTTAAAATTGTCATGTTTTATATTATAGATATAGAGGGACTACAGCAAATGAGTTGAAGATGAGCCAAGGGGGAATTCAATGGGCAAGAAGTTGCATAGTAGAAAGGAAGGCATTTGTAGTAATGTGATTGTGTGCATTAAGGAGAGCTTATTTCAAGTAAGAGTGAAATAGGGAGAGCATTGTCTAAGTCTAAAAGTCAAAATTCAACTAAAGTCATTTCAAGGCAATAAAACCATTTTCTCGCGTGGGACTAGTGCGAATGGTGAAAAAATTTGTTGGTTTGAAGATTGTTTCACAAACGGTTCTATTTTCATAAAGCTGTGACAATGTAGACACAAATCAATCTTGGTGGGAAGTAAGGAAGAGGTGCTAGGAAGAGGTGGTTGATTGGTCCGTGTAATGATGGAGTGAATGATTCCTTTACTTGTGATATTTCTCGAGGTGATGACATCATCAAGGTTCATTCAAATATTGAAAGACATTAATATGGATAAGAAACTATTAAAGGCAATTAGTTATTGTTGGGTTGGAGGTATGGACAAACTGGATTGTGGGATCCTTAGGACTGTAATACAAGCGAGAAACTTGACTTCGAGAAACAAAAGAAAAGAGACGCTAGCTGCAATCTAACCATATTGCTAACGAGCAAGAAATGGCTCCTTATGATACATAGCCTTTTTGAAGTCTAAGAATAGAGTCCATATTATATCCTATACGCATGCCCATATAGAATTCTTCTCACGAGGTGAGATTTTTTGTTGCAAGACTATCCCATATTAAGTTCTTCAATAACTTCATTTAGTCAAGAAACTACTTGCGTTTTTCATGATATTTACCATAAAATTGAAAATTCACATATATTTTTGAGTTTGGAGAATCATTTTCGTGAGATTTTAAATAATATTTTAGCAAGTCATATTTTAGCTCGCAATATTGTTCTTTATTGGATATTATTGTTTCCAGAATTTTTATGTAATATACACAATTGACAGATATATTTTTCTCTCTATTAATTGATGCTATGAATGGTATCAATTCACTTGAATTTGATAAAGATTCCAAACAGTTGACACCCCATGCAGAGAATCTTCTTTCCATGCCCCCTCAAGTGCAAGCTCCTGCATACCATTGTGAACTGCAAAGTGAGAAACAATGCTGGTATGCACTTTACTACCATGGGATAAATTGGTCACTGAGCTGTCTGTGTACCTAGAAGTTGATTTGGTCAAAATGATGCTTACACTATACTTTTAAGTTGTACGGGTACAAGAAAAAGGATCTTTGATTGATCAATTCTTGTGAAGCAGTTTCCTAAGAGAGTTCTAACTTAATAATTGCCCAACACCTCCGAGGCTGTGCTTGCTACTAGTAAGTAGTATGATCAAATAAGTTCCGTGCGAATCATGAAACTTGACAATGTCTTCCCACGTTACACTAGGTAATACAAGTATTATTCGGAATGATGCCTATACTTATTACTTGCTTCTGACTATATTTTTTTGTTCTAAGAGTTAATATGCTAACCAATCCATTGATGTTAATTCAAGATAACTAAGCTATGAACAAGCTAAGTTCCTTTGACCTCTGTCATGTCGGAAATGCTTGATTGCTCAACAAGATCTGCTCGAGATAGTTGTCAATAAAACTTCTTGAGTTAATTAGAAGTGGATATATTTGCCTCTTATAAATCTATTTTTTTTTCTAATTGTTAAATTTTCTCAAGCAACAAACAACCGCATGATTGATTGTTGTTACTTTCTTTCATTCAGATTAGTTATTGATAGAGAAACTGGGAAACCAAAAGGTTATGGATTCTGTGAATATAAGGATGAAGAAACAACTCTAAGTGCTCATCGCAATCTTCAGGAATACGAGATCAATGGCCGTCAATTGCGTGTTGATTTCGCTGAAAATGATAGAAATTCTAATGAAAATCGAGAACAGGTAAAAACTTTTAGGTGTCCAGAGAAACATTTTGTTTTATTGTAGACACTAAATTGAGTTTTCTTAAGGCTTTCTATACCATTTATCTCTATCGAGTTGTGTGTTGAATTATTGGTTGCTTGTCACTGATGACTTGACCACTGAAGGTGCATTTCTTGGTTGTCGTCACTGTTAAAAATTGAATAGTATATAACCATGATGGTAGTTAGAAGAATGTGCATTGGTCCTTGATGTCACTGATAGCCTGAATGCTCTAGATGTGTTTCTCTGTTGTGTCATTGTCCAATTTTAAGAGTAGATAACAGCCATTGTAGTTGGATGATTTTTCCAGTTAGCCAAGAGTACCTAATTCTGTAAAATTGGCATGGAAATTTTTTAACTGTTGATTTTCATAAATTTTATAATTAAATGCTTAATTTATTAAAAACTAAGAGTGTAAGGATGAGATCTACTTCGATACACTGAAACAGACATACTTGATCTAGAGGAGGGTTAATAGGTCTTATGCACTTGAATGCATAATTAATGGCCAATTGATACATATTGCACTCTATTAATGATTAATCAATAAGTAAATTCAATTAACACCTCAATCACTTTGACCCAATTTTTCAATTAGTGAAATTATGCAAAATACCAAAATTTAATCAATCGCAATGTGCATAATCCACATCTTAATCACTCCAATCTTACTCACCATTTCAATAAAAATTGAAGTGGCTAACAATGCAATTCGGATTCACTTAAGTAATTTATTGAGCATGTGTAAGAATAAAAAATGGCATGTATGTAACTCATGGAAGAGACAAACGAAGACTATCATGGTTAGACGTTTTCTCACTTGAATGTTCAGTCCAAAGTCCATTGCAAGCTTTTGACGACTAGTTTCAAAAGGTGACAAATCAAGTTCCACGATCTGTCCTTGGAATCCTCCTTTGATCCTTGGACATCTCCTTTGATCTTTGTTTTATGGGTTTTTGGTGTTCTACAAGATCTCTCAAAACTCTAGATGAATTTCTCTTAAGAAATCTAGAATGATCAACTAGAGATTGGGGTTTGTTTTGGGATGCTAGGGTAAGCCTCTTGAACATCTCTTAGCTTTTCTTAAACCCTAGTTTCTCTCCTTAAGTCAAAAAAGACATGCTCTGTTTATTGGTAGAGAAAATTAGAGGTGGATTGGCAAACAAGAAAACCTAATTGCGACACATGTTGAGTTGTCCAGAGAGCGATCAGAGGGTGCTGACCACTGGAACGGTTATCTTTGCAACTGTGTACAGTGGCTCGCGGATCATTGTTTTATAATTCTCATATACAATCCATTTTCTTCAATCTCGAGAGCGCTTACCACTGGTTTTCCGTCTAAACTAAGGTTCTTTTTCAACTTTTGAAGTACCAAGGGTTCATACCTAAAAAGTCTCCATACCATGACTCTTTTATACACATTTTGAAAACCCACATTGAAAGGTTCAAAATTTTTTTTCTAAAAAACACTAGTCATGCTATAGATTTTCATACACACACTTTAAATCCATTTTAATCACATATGTTAAACTATTTTAAGACAACTAGGTATCTATGTCTGTTTTCCTCTCCATTGCTTTATGGGATCCAAGAACTCTTCACATGTGTTGCAATGTAGCTCGAGTTTCTTCACCACATCTTGCTTTGGTCTTCAATTTTCACAAACATCTTGACCATAGATTTAGTTGAGATATAAGACAAAGTGACCTCAAATCAATTACTATTTTCTATCAATCTACTACAAACAATTTTCTATCAATCTACTCATTTGACAATTTTGTGACCAAACATACAAGATTATGAAATTACAAGATTACAACTTGCTAAACCACAACAAAAAATGTATCATAATCCTAACTTCTAGACTTAGGTACAAGTCACTCAATCTCATCCTAATTACAAGACTAGTCTTCATGATTGGAACTTTTGAAATGGCGTAGTCCCACAAAACCAACACTAAACACAAAACCTCGTGAAATGCAAAGAGAAAAAACAAATATAAATCATGGTCTCTGGTAAGTGTTGGTAAACAAAGCACTAAGAGTGATAAGCTACGCAAACATGTATTATAATGACAAGTTCACCTGTACCCAAACCACGTACCCAACCGACCCGCGATTCAGGTAACCCTGATCCAAACAACAAAGAAAATAATAAATAAAAACATACCAAGTTAAAAAAATAACCCCAAAAAAAACAATGTCAACCAATTTTTTCCCTTTCACTTCCAATTTTCTTTCAAGTTCATCCATTTTTTTGCAAATTGTTTCTCTCCATTTTTGTCACGAAGTGCCAAAGAACCAAGCATATGGGAAAAACTGACAATTAAGTACAAGAATCATGACCATGAAAATCAAAATCTAAGAGAGATAATCAAATAAATCATGATATATACACATAACAAGAGAATGGGTTACAAAACAAAGGATCACTCATACACAAACTCTCAAAAAACTCGCACAATCCTATGTTAAGTATCCTAGCTAGAAGGTGGTTAGTCATGAACCTTTTCATTCTCTTTCTTTTTCTCCTTTTCTTTTTTCTCCTTCTCCTTAGCCTCCTTCTATTGGATAAGGGTACGAGCCAAGTCCTTAGTTTGACCCAACTCTCGTGTTGCAATATCAATCATCCTCTATTGAGCCTTCTCCAAAGTGTCAACCTTGGAGGCCAACTCCATAACTTTAGCTATTGGGAATAGAGGTGGTGGTGTTGTGCAAGTGCTTGGGTGTGATTCACTGCGAGTAGGTGGTGGTGGAGTGAAAGATATACTTGATGATGAAGTTGAGGTGGCGTTGGTGGATTCTGAGGTATGTGATTCATGTCCTCCAGCATCTTCTCCAATCTAACACTTGAGGGCCTCTCACTTGGAGCGGGTGGAAAGAGGGCAAGTGAGATGCTTGTGGCATCAAAGTAGGACCAATGCGACACCTAATTTGATTTGATGGGAGTGCCTAAACTCCATTCTTCAGACAAAGCCGGGTGATCAAGGCCCCAAATGTGAGGTCATTACTCTTCTTCTTGCTCTCAAATGCTCAACAAATCACTCCAAAGATCAGAGCAGGTAAGTCAATAATAACTACTGTACTTATGGCGTAAAGCAACTGAGGTCTAGTTGTCGGGAAGTCACTAACGTAGGACTTCGGGTCAATATCTGCTCCCCCAGGAGTTTATACTCCTGAGTCAAGTCCTTCTAGTAGAACTTTAGGGCGGCGTAACCCTCAACATGTGGTGCTCAACTATCTCTATAGCCATAGTGTGTAGCTTCGGGATTTGATCCCTCACCCCCTGTCTTAAAGACATCTCCCTCTACCTGTAGTAATCCCAAAATCTTAGCAATGTCAGTACGGAGATGTTGGGGTTATAGCGTAGTTTATTAGGATTTTGCCCTTTTTACCTTTTTCTCCTTATTGTATATTTATTGTTTGACTATATATACGGGAGCTCTACACTTAATTTATATTCTTTTCACTCACAAATATCTCTAGTTGGTATTAGAACCACCAACTTGACCCTAAACCTAGCCTCTGCCAATCATTGCAACCAACAAAACAAACCAGACAACCGTTGCTCACCCAACTCTGACAGCCGGTTCCTTGCAATAGCCTACTGGCCAGCCACCATTTAGCCACCGACAAACCCATAACATCCACCGCCCATCCACGATAACACATCACATTCCGTCGATAAACCAATACCAGTCCACCGACAAACCCAATACACTGCCCACTCAATCACCGATTACCCATCCACTGACAAACCCATAACACATCACAGTCCATTGATAAGCCCATACTAGTCCATCGACAAACCCAATACACTGCCCATTCCACCTTTAGCAAAAAAACCGAAACAACAGTCTTCGATAAACAACGGCAAAAACCAACAACATCAACCAACAACATATACCCCTAACCCAATAAATTGAACCCAACCCAGACTAGCCCACCACCCAGCTCAATAAACCAAACAAACTCAACTACCCAGTATCCCAACCTAGCGATCCACTGCCCAACCCAGTGACCCACTACCCAACCCAACCCAACCCATATTAGCCTAGCTGTCTAGCCTACTGCAGACCAGCGAACCTAAGTGCCTAGCCTACTATTGGGTGACTGCCTAGCCTACTGCCGGGTTGCATTTTTTATTGTAGATTCATCCTTCGCACTATTTGTCATAGTGCTGCTAGGTTATAGTATCTAGGATTTTTTTAGGAGGGAGTTAATTCTCTTCTCTGTTGATCTGCTTTTGATGCAGTAGATCACTTTTATATTTCCTAAATTTTTCAGCACCGTGACTTGATTATTTGGGATCTTTTTGGACTTTCTTTATCTGTCACTGTTGTGCGACTTAAGGTATATTGTTCTCCCTTATTTTATCCTTCTATTTATCTTAGAGTTGTTTTTCTATCACGGGTGCCCTAATGTTGTTGATATGACTACTAATAAGGGACATTAGAAACCTACTGTTGACACCTCTACCATTGAGATACTGCCTACTGTTGAGACATCTATTAGTACTTTCACTTTTATGTTTGACTAGTATACAGTACCTACTGGCACAGTTTCATTACTAGTAATGTCAGACACGATCTCTCAGAAAGTTACGGCACAGTTGTTGAATAGCTGTAACTTTGCTGACTGGTCTTGCTTATTCTAGCTTTTCTTAGGCCGTGTCGAAAAGTTTGGTTGGTTGACGAAATCTCACCCAAAGCTAGCTGATGACGACCTTGGATATTCTGTGTGGTTCTCTGAGAACTGCGCTATTCTTGGATGATTATTTGGCTTGATAGAGCCATCTGTTTACAGGATTTACTAGTTTCATAGCTCTGTTTCGAAGCTATGGAGCGCATTATCAGAGATATATTCTCAGTCAGGATGGGGAGCTCGTGTTTATGAGCTTTCTCAAGAGCTCTTATATGCTCGGTAGGGAGATATGACCATTTAGAATTATTATGGCTATTTGACCTAGTGCTGACTTGAGTATGAGACTCTACGTCCTCTTGCTGTTATTTCAAGGATAGAGTCCGAGGGAGCAACATTCTTGCATACCGAAGAGTAGGAAGATAGGATTCACAAGTTCCTTATGGGGCTTTGTGATGAGTTTGAGGAACTTTGTTCCCAGATCTTATCGATGTTGAAGTTTCCTTCTCTTTATGAGGTGTATGCGATGATTGAGCAGCATGAGCGCCCCGTCTGTATTACATCACTTCCAATTGTGGCCTTGACTCTTCCGGTTAACTAGATGACCCTTGTAGCTGCTGTTAGGTCTCGTTCAGGATCCTCAGTCAGGAGTAGACAACGCTTGGACCAACGCTGTCAAGGTGCCCCAGATCAACGTAGACAAAGGGATTCTTGTCGGTGTGAATATTGTGGCCGACCAGGACATCTCAGGGCTGCTTGCTAGAAGTTTTTTCCGGAGCTTAAACCCTCTTTGTGGCCGTACTGCTCCTATTGTTGAGGTACCCCCACCTACTGCTGTTGCTCCTCCTTGGTAGAGTGATATGGATGCTATCACTTCCCGATTGGATATATTTATGTCTGCCTTGACTTCTCAGAGTCTGACTACTGCTATTGCCACCACTACAAGTCTACCTCATGCTTTTTATGCTTGCATCAATCCGTCTACCCTTTGGATGCTAGACTCGGGTGTGAATAGTCATATAACAGGTGAGACCCATCACTTTACCATTTTTGATGAACAATTACATACACAGGTTCAGTTAGTAGATGAGACACATGCCCCTATTATTAGTACGGGTACAGTCTCCCTCCTAGATGGATTTACATTACATTCGATTTTTCATGCGCCAAAGCTAGCCATGAATCTATTATCTGTACATCAGTTAGCCAGAGATTTTCACTATGCAGTTGTGTTCTTATCTGATTCGTGTTATTTGTAGGACCTAAGTACTAGGAGGATAATTATCAGGGGACATGATATAGATGAATTGTATTATCTAGGCGATCCACCTCTAGTTTCACCAGTTCCTCCACCTCTATTACCTGCATCTGCTTTGTCTTTATTTGTTCCTACCTTGCATACTAGTATTTTAATTAGTACTTATCATTATGATTTTTCATCACAAATTGTTCAATTGTGGCATGACCATTTTGGGTATACAAATTTTAAATATTTATGTATATTATTTTCTGCTATGAGCAATGCTTGTGTTAGTGGTAAACTTGACTGTGTTATATGTTCCTTATCGAAACATGTTCAGACCAGTTATATTCCCCGCATGCACCAATCACCCAAACCATATGACCTAATATACTCTGATATTTGGGGATCCTCTCCTGCTACTGCTCTGTCAGGTGCCCGTTGTACTTGAGTTTACCTTTTGCATAGGAAGTTTGATGTACTCCCTGTCATCACTTAGTTTTTTCAAATAATTAAGACACAATTTGATGTTATTGTTTGTGTTTTCCAAATAAACTTGACTATGTTATATGTTCCTTATGGAAACATGTTCGAACTAGTTATATTCCCCGCATGCACTAATCACCTAAACTATTTGACCTAATATACTCTGATATTTGGGGATTCTCTCCAGTTACTGCTCTGTCAGGTGCCCGTTGTATTTGAGTTTACCTTTTGCATAGGAAGTTTGATATACTCCCTATCATCACTTAGTTTTTCTAAATCATTAAGACACAATTCGATGTTATTGTTCGTGCTCTTCGTTCAGATAATGCCAACGAATATGTGTCTAATGTCTTAGTGTCTTACCTTTCTTCTCAAGGTATCTTTCAGCAACTCACTTGTTTATATACTCTTGAGCAAAATGAAGTTGCTGAAAGGAAAAATAGAAGTTTGATAGAGATGATACGTTGTATGCTTAGAGGTATAGGGGTATCAAGATTTTATTGGCATTTTGTTGTTTTGACTTCTACCTTTCTATGCAATCGTATACCGAGTTGTGTTCTTCAGTATCGAGCTCCCGTACAGGTCTTATTCCCTGAGCGAATATTTTTTTTTGATCCCGCTTCTATTTTTGGCTCCACATATTTTGTTCAAGATCGGTCTCCTACTTGCCATAAACTTGATGATAAAGCGATTCATTGCATCTTTGTGGGCTATTGTCATTAGTCTAAGGGATATCGGTGTTATGATCTTATCAGGCACCGTATATATCACAGTTTAGATATTACATTTCTTGAATATATTCCTTATTTTTCTTCCAGTCCTGTTTCTGTTCCTTCAGTTGATGATACTCCTTTTATTTTTTCGTTTCCACAGGAGCTTGAGCCATTGGTCACCATCACTATAGAGTCATCAGTCTCTCCTCCTCCAGAGCCACTTATCCCCGTCAGTACAAAGTCACCAGTTTCTCTTCTTTTATAGGTTTATGTTCGTCGTCCTCGCTCTCATCCCCCTGCTGATGTCTTCTCTACCTCAGGCGATGCAGGTAATGCTTCTCAGTTCGATAAGAATATTAATGCACCTGTTGTTAGTATTGATGAGATTGTAGGTACTGAGCCAGTTACTTTACCTAATAAGACATTGTCCGTGGAGAATAATGATTTAGGGCGTCGTTATCCGTGATGTGATCGCCGTCCAGTTGTTTGTTATGGTTGGATTGCTAGGACGTCATATCCGATCTCTGTTTATGTTTCTTGTGATGATCTATCTCATACATTTCGAGCTTATAGTATAGCCTTATCAGATACGCCAGTTCCTCACTCTATTTCAGAGGTTATGCGGGATCTCCAATGGTTTCTTGCCATGCAGACGGAGATGGACGCTCTTCAACGTAATCATACGTGGCATCTTGTCTTTTTATCTTTAGGGGTGAAACTTGTTGACCGTCGTCGGGTTTATATCTTGAAGTTTCTTGCGGATAGTACTACTGATCGTTACAAGGTTAGGCTTGTAGCAAAAAGCTTTACTCAGGTACCATGTCATGATTTTGGTGTTACCTTTGCCTCGTGGTAAAATTGACTAATGACTACTGTTCGATTGATTATTTCTCGAAATACTTTTGGCCTCTTCATCAGTTAGATATGAAGAATGTATTTCTTTATAGTGATCTTGACGAGATTATTTATATGGATGCATCACCGGGCTTTCGTGGTGAGGGGGAGTATGCTGGAAAGGTATGTCGACTGCGTAAGTCTCTTTATAGACTGAAATAGTCACCACGAGCCTGGTTCTCTCATTTTAGTGGTGTAGTTGTACAATTAGGGTTCACCAGATGTTATTCTAATCATACTTGCTTTATTTGATGGAATACTTCTGGACAATGTGTCATCTTTTTTGTATATGTTGATGATATTATTATTACTGGGGATGATGATTCTAGGACTGCGCAGGTTAAGGTAGACCTTGGAAAGGCCTTTGATGTGAAGGATCTTAGATTTTTGTGATATTTTTTTGGGATTTAGGTTGCCTGTAATAGTAGGGGTATTGTTCTTTCTCAGAGAAAGTATGTTCTGGATTTTCTTTCAGATATTGAGATGTTGGGGTGCAAACTGGCATCGTTACCCAATATTCCAAACTTAAAGCTTACTGCTGAAGGTGAGGAGTTGAGAGATTCGACTGTTTATCAAAGATTGGTAGATAGACTTATCTACCTAGCCAACACTAGTCCAGGCATTTCATTAGCTGTCAGCCGAGTTAGTCAGTTCATGCACAAGCCATATCAACTTCTTCTTGATGTAGTTTATCATATTCTTTGGTACCTCAAGTTTTGTCTTGGATTTGAATTGTTCTATGCATCAAGATTTTAGACTGGTTCTCTAGCCTATTATTCTGATTCAAATTATGAGGGAACGTGTGACGGTCGATCTATTATGGGTTTCTGTGCTTTTCGAGGGACTCATCTTATCTCTTGAAAAAGTAAGAAGTTGACAGTTGTCTCTCGCTCGTTAGCAGAGGCAGAGTATCGGACTCTAGCACTTGGCACGTGTGAGATTATCTGGCTACGATCGATTCTTGGCAAGTTAGGATTTTCAGTGGCTTCTCCATCCACATTATATTGTGATAATCGATCTGCTATTCAGCTCGCTTCTAACTCATGAGAAGACGAAGCATATAGAGATCAATGTTCATTTTCTTCAAGAGAAGGCTAGCCGTGGTATTGTCACTTCATTGTTTGTGGGGACCAGTAATCAGGTTACAAATGTTTTCACCAAGCTTGTCACTCTATCCATTCTTCAGGACTCGGTTGTCAAACTTGGTTTAGTTGATATTGTTGCACCTAGCTTGAGAGGGAGGGAGTGTTAGAGTTATAGTATAGTTTATTACGGTTTTGCCCTTTTTACCTTTTTATCCTTATTATACCTTTATTGTTTAACTATATGTACGGGGGCTCTACACTTAGTTTGTATCCCTTTCACTTACAGATATCTCTAGTGGAGACATCAAACTCAACTTCTTGAACATATGTGAGGAACGCATGCCCCACATGAACGTGAGTGTAATGTAAAGAAAGAATAGTGACATTCTTGATCTTCTAGGGTCTTGAACCTGTTTCCCTCACTAGGTCGTCCAACATCCACTCTCTTGGCTCCTCTTGGGGTATATTTTCAAAAATCAATCGGTAGAAGTGCTCTAAATGTAATAGGTTCTCACTTAATCAAAATAAAATCAAAGATAAATGGTCCAAAATGAAGATCCCAAGTGGAAAGGGTGAGATTTGAGAGTATTTTGGGGTTTGGAAGAGTTAGAAATGAAGAAATTAAGTGGAAAATTGACTTTTAACTAACTTTCCCACCCAGGAATGCTTGAGGGTTGGCAGTGACTGCTTGAGTGGTCATGTTGTCCTTGCAGGCCAATGGTAAGCTGTGCAATCCGATCCTATTCACCTTGTTTCTCACCTTTTTGACACCTTTAAGCCTATTCTCAACTATTTAATGGATGTACAAATGTATGACAATAAACAAAAAGGGGAATATCATTTTCAAAGATTAGATTTTTCACATTGCATCATCAATATATTAAAAGTGTTGCGGCCCTTACATTAGCATCTGTTGCTTATTTCGTCAAGAATCCCCCTATTTATGTTAATGGAATGATTAATGGATAGCCCGCAATGCAATACTTTTAATACATTTAGGGTGCAAAATGGGAGTTTCTAAATTTTTTAGGGTGTAAATGCAACTCGCCCCAAACAAAAATATCAAATTTGAACACATACATGGATGAAATTGGACCTAAATGCAAGAAATCTGAATTTGAAAACATGAAAGTCAACTTAAAATCATCAAAACTCAAATTCAATCTCATTTCAAAATTCAATAAGTCAATCTAAAGTATATCTAAGGATAGAAATATCAATAATCATGCAACTTTAGAGAACTTTACGAATCATAGTCCACAAACAGATATACACATTTTAAATTTGCAAGTAGTTTAATCAATCTATGTATAAAGGGTGTGAAGCCTACACCATTTGTTGCTTCTTATGAAGATGATATGTTCCTAACTCCCTCCGCCCTATACTATTGTCCTCCTTGACTTGGTATGCAATTTTACAAAAAATTTGAATGCATTGACTTCAGTAATAAATTCTTAAGTTGCTATATTTGCTTCAGCGTATATTTGGTTATAATTTAAAAAGTTGGTATAATTTAGGGGTTCAACTTGGGTTGGGCAACCCGATTTCAACCCGAGCACAACTCGAAAAAATTAGGATTTGGGCAAGGGTTTTTAATACTTGGGTTGGGCTTGGGTCAAAAAATTCTAACCCGAATTCAATTTGGGTTGGGCTCGGGTTAAGGCCTCGTTAACCTGAGTTCAACCCGATCCCGACAAATTAAAAAAAAATTATATATATATATATATATATATAAAGCATTAGTACTAGTTTTTCATTTTTGTTCTATCGTTCTCTATCTCTTTAGTTCTGTTTGCCTCTCTCGTTCTCTCAGTCTTTCTCGTTAAAAACTTGGTTGAAGTTATTGGTTGTTAATTTAGGTGAATATTATGTAATATATGTATTAGGTTTAGAACAACAAGCCTATTTTGGGCTCTACCCGAATTGAACCCATAAAGTAACCCGAAATCAGTCTGAAATCATCAACCCGAACTCGTCCGAATTAAACTCGGGCAGTGCTCGGGTTGAGTTCTCCAACCCGAGGTAGGATTAGGGTTAGAGTTGAAGATTATATACCTAGGGTTGGGCTAGGGTTGATTGTCCAACCTGCCCAACCCGCCCGAGTTGCACCCCTAGTATAATTAACTTTGACTTGCCAATTGGGATGTATTTTAGGCAAATCCTGAAATGGATATTTGGAGACACACAATCACAGACAGAAGGAATAGTTATAGAAATGAATATAGCAAAATATTAGTTTTATAAGATTTGTATCAATCATTTATAAAATGTGAAACATGGTTCTGCATTCTCCCTCTTTAGTTTTGAGGCTTGCACATCGACATAACACGTGGGTTCTGCTTCTTGCCTATATCACTTAAATGGCAAACCTATTGGTGACATTCTCGCTGCATAGCTTTAAAACTGTTAGGGTGATTACTGAGGTAGAAATAAGGGTTAGCATAGCAACCCATAATGTAGTCTCCAATCATTGTAGGATTCCAGCAAAAATGTGTTGATTCTTGTTGGATTGATGGTGAGAGCTAAGCATAATGCTAAACAATTTTCTTTGTCCTGCCAATTGGTAAGTGCGCTTTCTCATTTTTATTGAGTTCTATCTGGGGTGTGAAAAGTCGACTATTACCATGATCCTAATGCATATTGTGTTTCTTCGCAGGGTCGCGGTGGACTTCGAATGGTCGTGAGTATTGGTTAGTTTTGTTTTACTCTTTACTTATAGCACATAGAATTTGTTTACAATTTCTTTCAAATGAATAAATCCTAAAGACATTTTATTCATGGATAATACAGACCCTCAAAAACAATTTGGGGGCTCAACAGTCCTTGGGGATGCTGGTCTTAAGCAGCACATAGGTCTATCAGTAGCTATGGCTGCTGCATCACTTATGGTGGGAGCTCTTGGAGGTCCTCAGATTGGTAGCAACTCCAATCAAAATGGGCAGCAGGGTCAGGTAGTTTTGGGCACGGATCTGTTAACTCTTCATCTGGCCAAAACGTCAAGAAACTAGCTGAATGAGATTATTTCTATGATGAAGGTAAGTGTTCGAATCCAGTTCGACTTGTCTTTCTGAATAAATTTAAATACATGGCCTGGTACTAAATCCATTTATTTGATTCAGGTAATGGCTTCACAAAAAAAAGGAACAAGCCTGCCAGTTATTACTTGCAAGCCCGCAGTTGCCAAAAACTCTTTTGCAGGTTTTTTTTATCAACCCTTCATGCCTTGAGTTTTTGCAAAGCATATTTTTGGTCACTGGATTACGGATTCCCTTGTGTTTTCTACCTTTTTTTTATATATGTGGAAGTTGTGTCATACATTTTCTTAATCCTCTAGTCAACTCAATTGTTGTAGCACTATGAACGATTGTTTTTGAATTCTAAATGTTTGGCTTTCACTGTTTTTCTACATAATATCCACCTACGCAGTGCCTAGATCTTTGACAGTCTGGACTTCATGAAAACTAAAGGAGTGTTTGTTTAATGGGAAATAGGTGGTAAATGCAAGAAAGGGAAACAAAATCTTACTTCTTGTCTATTTGTTTAGCAAGAAAGATAAGAGAAAATGGGGGAATGAAGATTGCCGCTCCCAAAAATTTTCTCACAAACCACTTAATCCTATTTCTCACATAAGTGAAGGCTTTTGACCTATTTGCCTACAGTCATAGTTATCAAATCGTGTATTGGAAGACGTATCGTTTTTCAAAAATAGTGTATCGTGTTGTGTATCATAAGATATGGTACAAATTTAAATAAATAATAATAATATATATATACCTTTGAAAAAAAAATCATACACTCATAAAAACATAGCATTTCATCAATATTCTACCAACTATTCAAGTCATAAACATAGTTCACTAATATTATAATACAAAGTTCACAACCATAGTTCACTAATTCAAAGTTCAAATACCAAAGAGACTTCTAATCCAAATTTTTAACATCCATTTTTAGTCATTTCTATATGAAAATAAGATGCTGGTGATGCCACTATTTCACAAAAATTAAAATTAATCAAGATTCAAAAATTTTTATACAAATATATATATATGGCTTTGTAAATAAATTAAAATTATTTCTTACATTGCACAGGACCACAGGTATCGATGGAGACTAAGAAGAAGAAGAAGAAGAAGAAGAAGGCAGCTTCGATGGAGTACCTGGAGAATGAAGAAAAAGGCAGCTTCGATGGAGGCAGATGGAAGAACAGAGAGGCAGCTTCGATGGAAGAACAGAGAACACCCACAGCCGAAGACTAGCGAACGTGGTCAAAGGTTGAAGAACACCCAGAGACATCAGACTCAAAGACCAGCGAAGTGAGCCAACAACGAAGAAGGAAAAAAAAATTTATTTTTTTTGTAACCCTAGCCACTGAAACAACGCCGTTTCAGTGGTTATAAGGATAAAAAAATCAGCCTCTTGACCAAAAAAAAGACGTTCCAGAAAAAAAAAATAGCTTTTGCACGTATTTTGCATATGGTAACGATACGCATCGTATCGTATCGTAAAAATGTATCGTGTATTGGACGATACGACGCAAAAATAATACATAACTACGATCTGTATCGTTTTAGGCCTGTATCGTAACGTATTGTACAATATGTATTGCACGATACGTATCGCGTATCGCACGATACGTATCGCGTATCGTACGATACTAACAATTACACCTACAGGTATGAATGGAACAACAAAGCAAATCAAGAATTACAACACCACCGCTTGCTATTTCCTCTATTGCCTTGATGATATTCTTGATGATCCATCTGATGAAGGTGACGACGATAGAGATCTTGTTTTTGTCTTGGCTGAAAGTGTCCAAACGGTGAATTTTGAGTTGTCAGTTGCGATGACATAAAATCGAATGGAGGAATGGAGTTGAAGATGAAATAGGTGATGGAGCGATGGAAGGATAACATAGTTAAAGGTGGTGGTGGGAGCTGGGGGTTGAAGTTATTGATAGAACGACGCCCCGCGAGAGAGCGAGAGAGAGAGAGAGAGAGAGGGTGGACCTGGTGGTTGATTGGTGAAAGTTATAGGGCGGTAACGTGGCGGTACCGGTGGAGGAGGTGATTTGTTAGTTGTATGAATATGATGTTGAGGACTGATTAGTGTTCAATGGTGGGTGGGTCCTTTTGTCTACAAGGGATATATGAACATTTCACATTGTTAAATGGAAGAAATGTGTTTATTTTGTTTAAGCAATCTATTATTGTGTATGGTTGTGTAACATGCTTATAAGCATTGGATATATGTTAAAATAACATCCAGGTAGACGTGGGAGTCTTTCCACTTTGCCAGTATTATAGTGAGTAGCTATTATCGTACTTTTTACATCAACACACTTGTAAACCTTTGTTGCCTCTCCCTTTGTCATATGTCGACGACAATATTGGTTTTTCTGGTGAAATGTCGGACGATGATGCCCCCATTTCAGTTTTGTTTAAGCCCATCTCATATCATTTGTCTGGTGATTTTTTTGAGGCCATTGGTTCCGATAGTGATCTTGAAGAACATGGTCATTAATGTATCCTCGGCTGCAATCTGTGATATTTAATGGGTCTTGAAAATTAAGATTCCAATAGGGATCTCGAAAAAAGATGTTTGGTAGTTTGAGTTTTGGGATAGTAATTGTGTGGTAAGTATAATTGATAGGATATAGTGTACTAATTGTTGGAGAATTGGCTAAATTAGGTAAGTAGGGTTCAATTTCATCGAAGAGTGTGTTAATGGTGCCCGTAGTATAGGAGCACCGCCAAACTTTGTTTTTGAGTTGCTGTATGTTTGGGATTTTATTGGATCTATATGGAAGTTGTGTGATTGATGAATTGTATACTCAAGTCACTCTGGAAAATAGATATATTGATTATAATTATTGATTTTTTAATATGTTTACATGTTTAACTATTGGTATATACTTTATATTAGTTTAGTGTTTGTATTTTGGTCTCATAGCTGAGGAGTTGGATTGATACGAAATGGGCAATTTAGGGTGCGTTCGGTAATGTTTTCGTTTTTATGTTTTTTTTTTATTAAAAAAAAACTAATTTTTTTTTTTGTGATAAAAACTAAAAATATAAAACATGTTTGGTAGTCATTTATATTTAAAAAATTATAAAAACAAAAATAAAAAATATGTTTGATATCATAAAAAAAATCCACCACCTAACACCACGAAAACCCACAACCACTAACCACTTGACCTCACCACCACCCCTAAAACTCACCACATAACCCCCAATACAAAACCCATCATCCACCCCCGAAACCAACCACCCAACCCCCATTGCAAAACCCATCACCCACCCCCGAAATCCACCCCCACAACCCCCTGCAAAAATCCACCAACCACCTCTAAAACCCACCACCATCTACTACCCACCCCCGAAAATCCACCACCACCCAAACCCCCATGCAAAACCCATCAACCATTCTCGAAACTCACCCTTGAAACCCTCTAGCAAAACCAACCAGCCACCCCCGAAACCCATCACCACCCAACCCCACCACCACCTACTACCCACCCCAGAAATCCACCACCATCCTTAAAACCCACCAGACACCCCCTCCCCCCGAGAAAACCCATCAGAGAAGGGCGAGAGAGAGAGAAAGGGATCTAGAAAAAAAAAAAAGTGAAAGAGGGAGGGGACTTTTTATACTAAAGCAAAAAAATTTATTTTTTGTTGCTAACGAAGATCGAAGTCAAGATCTCATTAAATTTCATTTTGAACCGCGCGTTTGTTTTTTATTTTTTTGGATGTTTTTCAAAAAAATATTTTTGGATGTCTCCATATTTTAGCATTGTTTTAAAAACGGAACATTTAAAAAAAAACGAAAATATTGACCAAAAGCTTTTGTTTTTTTGTTTTTTTTGCCATAAAATGAAAAAAAACAACAAAACAAAAACATGAGGTTATCAAATGACACCTTAGTAATTTCAACAAATTGTCTTAAAGTTTCTCACAAAATTTTCCATAATAACCAAACACGCATAAGAAAATATATTTTCTTTTCACTTTCCTTTTTGTTACTTCACCTTCTATCACTTTTACTTTCCATCGTTCTTTTACTCATAACCAAAAGGACCGAAAAAGGGTTAAATTTGCTCTTTGTTGCATAAAAGTGCCTCGGAAAGAGAGTGGAGAGGAATTGAGTTAGATACACAGGTGCACAGCCTTGTTAATGTTATTGCTTAGCCTGAAATTCTATCATAGATCCTACTTGAAGGTGGGAAAATTGTATCAACAAGGTCCCAATTTTTGTTTCATATAGTATAATCACAATGCTATTGTGCGAGATAATAATAGATGTCCAAATCTTGGAGGTCCGTCAATGTAGAGTGTTGTGGAACCGGAGCTATAGCCTGTAGGTGGAGTAGAGATAGGTTTGGTTAAAGACCTATTTACTATGGTTGATTTTGGGTCAAAATCTGGTGATGCTATGAATATTGTGAGCACTTTCATGATAAAGTGTTTTGGAAATGATACATTTGGGCATTCTTAGAATGCTTGGAAACCAATGAAGCTATTACTGGTGTTGAATGCTTTTCGCACTACAATTATATTCTGATGTGTCAAGCATAGGTTGTATTTGATGCCTTAGGTGGTTGTCTTTGTTTGTCATGATCTAAAACGTGTATGTGAAACAATGAAAAGGAGGGTAGTGTCGATCGTTTCACTAGAGTGCACAAATTGGTTTGGCTTTGTTTGAAACGTTGCATCTACAAAATTATCCTTATGTTTCATTTCTTTATCGCCTAAAAGAACTAAAAATGGAACATTTTATAATTTTTGACCAATCGTCTTGAAATTTTCTTTTAGGGTTTGACCAAACGCATTGAAATTTTATTCTAGGGTTTCTTCTTGTAAATCTTTAATGTGGATGTTCTTATTAATCATCCTAGCATTCCACTTTTTTGCCCCTTAAAAAATTTATTTGTAAAAGAGCATCTCTTATAATTGAAAATTTCCCTTGGACTATTGCTCATAAGAGACTCAACACTCACGATTTTTATTAGAGAAAGAGACCTCATTGTTGACTTGTGATAGAGTGTTGCATTATGTGTTGGAGGGTGGGGATTGGATAAGTTTTTTCTACATTGTCCTGTTGCTATGTGTTAATGAAGAAGGTTATTTACTATGGTGGATTTTTGTTGGGTGTAATCATTCTCATGTGAATCTATGTTTGCCATTGTATTCTAGGGCTTTAGGAGCAATGGGAAAGCTTGCTTTCTTTAAAGATTTGTGGTGTGGGCAATCATCACCTCTATGATTGGAAATGAAGGCTAGAATTATTCTTAGATACATTTGAAGAAAAGCTTGATTTGGGAGAAAGTTCGATTCTTGGATTGTTGTTGGGTAAGGGTTTCGATTTCTCTCGATTTTGCTAAAACTCCTTTGTTTCTTATTGGGACAAATTGATGATCCATTTTGTGAGATGTAGCCTTCTTTTTTGGTTTTTCTTTTCTTGTAGTTTTTGTAAGATCACCCATTTTATGTACCGACTTTTGAAAATTATGCACACCCTTCAGGCTTTAGCAAGCATTGGTCATGCAAACTTATGTATGATAAGTGAACTATGTAAGGTGTTCAAAGCAAGATGTAAATTGTTGGGCTTGTTTTTTATCAACTTAAACTTTTAGATAAGGATAACTGATGTAACATGGTATTAAACATTTTGGTTTTGTTGGAAAGGATCTGGGTAGGGGAAGAAGGACCATTTAACCTGTTATGGATAAATGGGTTTTTCAATTGGAAATTTTAAGGCAAGAAATATTGCATTAGTGGTCAAGTGGCTGGTTATCAAGAACAAATATTGATTACAAGCCAATGGATGAGATGCTAATAAGGTTGAAAGGGGAAGTTTCTAGTGTCCATGGAAGTTTATATCCAAGGAAGTGACGAGGTTTTTCCAAAATCTAGTTGTGGGTAATGGGGAGAGAATGCATGGGTTGGAGAGTCATATTTTTCATGTTTGTTTCCTCATCTCTATCAATTTTTTGATTCTCGTGGCTGATTCATTTTTCCTATGCTTCGGTTTGATAATCATCTGTACTCTTAGGACTTTGGTTTTTGTAGGAATCTAGATAATTGAGATACTAGGTATTTGATAGCTTTTCTTTATATCCTTGATTTATCTTTATTTAATCGAGAGTTGTGTGACAAAAAAAATGAGTTCGAGTCTTCGAGTGTCTTTTCTAGTAAATCCTTCTTTGATTCTTTGGTGAATGATTCTTCTTGTCATATTTTTGCCCCAACTTTCATGATATGGAGAGATAAGGTGCTCATTAAAGTGCAAGTGTTTGCATGGACTATGGCACATGATAAGATTAACACCAATGATTTGCTTCATAAAAGAATGTCTCATTGTTGTCTTTCCCCACAGTGGTGTATGATGTGTAAATATGCTTTGGAAAGCATTTATCATTGATTTCTATGTTGCCTTGTTGTTATGCGCTTGTGGAATAAGTTGTTTGGCTTGGCGGATATGAGTTAGGTGATTCGTGAAATATCTGTGTCCTTGTTAATTGAAGATTAGAAAGGTTTTAGGAATCTTGATAAAGGCATGACTCTTTAGTATTGTGCTATTTTTGCTATATTTGGGGTTATTTGGAAGGAAAGAAATTTCAAAAATAATTGAATATTGAAGAAAGTGGATGGAAGGAATATGGGATCTTATTTTCTAACGTATTTTTTGACATCGATAATTAAGGAATTTCACTTTTTGTTATTCTATTAGATTGGAGAGCTTCATGTGATTTATGATCCAACTTTTTTATGTACCTTTCATTTTCTATTAATACAAAGTATATGTTTCCTATTAAAAAATAAATAAAAAAAATTGGTTGTCTGCATATGATACCCATGTTGAGTTTGTGAATAACAATGCACTAGGTTCATGTTCTAATGTCTAGATGCCGATGCACTTGGTTATATGTAGCCTCCATGTTTGAGTGTTCACACATTGGGGAGATGATGAGAGCTAAATACACACTGATAGGCTCATTACCTGGCAACTTTAGTTTTGAAATGAGTTGTGGTTTAACATTGTATCAGAGCTAGTTAAATAATCAAACTCAGAATCGACTAGTACTAAGTAGAGAGACTGTCAAGGTTCTTACACTAGTTTGGGAGTTATTATATCAATGTGAATCAAGCTTTGACATAACCATCAACTCTTGTTGCAGAAGGGTTAGCTTGTGTTCCAGAACCCAAACAGATGCCAAAAGCTTCTTTAGAAAAAAAGCTTCTATCAGGATGGTCAAAAAACATAAGCATATTCTCTGTCCTAGTTCTGCGGTACCTCATTTGAAGATTCCTTATATTTAGATAATGTCCCAAGACTTTTATAGGATTAAACAACATTTGCATCCTATTGGCCACAGGAGAGGACCAAGCAACTACTACGGGTTACTATCTATTGCAGAAAAGAGTGCACCATAAGGAAGTCTTTTAGAGAACTTTGAATTCACTGGTTATTATAAGAAAATCCCTTTTGTAATTAGCACTTTAGTGATTGTTAGGTTGGAACATAATGGACTTTCCTTTCCGACAACGGCAACATAGGAGTTTCTGCTTCCATTGTTCTTGGTAGTTGAGTTGGATACTGTAATTGCAATCCTAAGTTCTTTTAGTAAGGATAGGAATATGACACTACAATAGTTGATAAGCTGATAGTAGCTCTTTATTAGCTACCATTCTTCTATAAGTAGTAGCACTTGCCCATGAAACTCCCTTTGCCACATCGAAAGCCCGTCTTTTTCATTAAAAAAGAGCTCTTTGTATAGGTTGGGTTTGATGGGTTTTGATGCTGACTTTATTTATTATTATGAAAAGGAGAAGGTTTGATAAGGAGCTTTTAAGCCCCTTTGCTAGCTTTTTCATTATGCTGGTTCAACTCATTTATACCCTTCTGCCACAGGTTCCGTGCTTTTTCTAAATCTCAATATTTGCTTCTTGTAAGCTTAGTAATACCAAATGGTCGAGATCCAGTGTTGGGTCTAATATAAAATTTCACTGTGAAAGTTCTCATTTTCTTCTTCCTATACGAGAAAAAAAAAAGATAATTTTTTTGTTTCCGTAGGTTTTAAAGTCTTTCTATCTCACGTGCTCACTCACACATTTCAGTCCGATGCTCTTATATTGTAGTTTTATATTAGTCTTATTTAGAGCTATGAAAAGGATGCTTGTCCGTTTGTTTTGGTGATTGCCTAGATGGATGCTATTTTGAGTTTGAATGCAGTTTTGGAGTTCTCAAGTTTCCTATTCTCCCGCACCTAGGATCATCAGTTTTTGAATCTATTCGGTATGTTTGTGTTTCATTAGGATAAAATTTTAGATGTAGCCATTGTCATCTGCAGCATTTAACAGCTTCGTATTTGCCTTTACTGCAGGCCCAGATAATGTTAGGAATGGTTACCCCACAAATGGTTTGTTTTGCTACTCCAAAGTTTTGTTGTATGATGCTATATTGTGTTGCCCATTACATGAGATTGTCTGAAAAATATTCATTTGATTTCTTTGATTTGTGCAGTTGCAGATGCAAAATATTCGACAGGCTTCTGCTCCACTTCTGAAGCGTTCGTTGCAAGATAGTGAACGGGGTCAGTGGCCAGCAGTCCAAAATCTTCCACGGCTTCCCTCTCTTTTACAGAGCAAGATGCAGTTTGGTGTGATGCCTCAATCACAAGAAGGTCAAGTAAATCAGTATCTCTCACAACTTCCTACATGGTCTCATATTCAGCTTCCACAGCTTGCACAGCACCAAGTTTTACAGCAAGGCTCATTGCCTGGGCAGTCTGTAGTTTCAACCATTCCATCAACTCGTACACAGCAGTTGGGCAATCTCTCTGTTAGGTCCCAAATTCAAGTGGCAAATTCCACTTCTTTGAAGCAGGAAGTGGAACCTCTGTTACATTGCCCTTTGGGGCATAATGCTCAGCTGGTTGGTCCAAATGCACCCCTTCAACCTTCTCTTTTGATTCCTCCACTAATGTCAGATCAAGTTTTCAGGTGCCAAAACTTACTGTCTGTTAGTATACAAAACATGGTTCAAGGTATCGGCCGATATCGACACGAATCGACTGAGTCGTATTTGACTTGACACCTTCCGCGACGATACCGTTACACAATACGTATAAATCTCGAGTCTCGCATGACTTAGTCTAGTTGTTTGAGTTGATCCCGAGTATCGACCGATATGCTTCCGCAACGCCGCGATATAATCTGAATCTCTTGTCATGTTCAATATTTTCTAGGTCGTATAGTCCGATACCGTGACGTGACGTGACACTGTGACCGATGTGGCTCAGAACTCTGTGACCGATGTGGCTCAGAACTCTTTGAATTGATGGCCGATACTGCAACCTTGAACCATGATACAAAATAAGGGAAATGGCCAAACGTAGGTGTCTGGTTGAAGGATGCTGTTGTCCTTGGGCTAACTTGTGTAAAACTATAAAGCATTCTTTCAACTCAGTTGATTTCTTTTTCCTGGAAGAAAAGGTGTTGCATCTCTGATTTCATTAGTAACAGACTAGAATTTAAACCAGAAGTGGCTGTAAATAGGAATATAGAATATCATATTCTTCACATAAGTTGAAACTGAAACTCATACAAACTTTGCTTTTGCCGAGAACATGTACCAGCTTGTGGCTGTAGAAATTGTTTGTCCTGGTAGATAATTATTTCATTACTTTACTTTTTTTTGAGACACATTACTTTACTTTGCAAAAGTCATTTCTTTAATAACACTCAAAATTGATGTTCTTTATTTCTTTCTGTTAACAGACTAGCTCCTCAATGTTATCTGCCATTACACAGGACTCTAATAGACCTCCTCAAGTTATTAATGATTCAACTTTGAGCCATAGAGTTGATACGTATCCCAGCTTGTCTTCAGACATAACGGAGAAAGCAGACATGGTCCATGACAGTTCAGATCAAATGAAGCGCCCTTCAAAACTGGTGAAATTAGAGGATGGAAGGAGGAACACTTTCTTGGGGCCAGATGTAAACGTTTCTACTGTATCTGGTCCATCGCAGGTTTTTGGCTTTTCTGGAAACCAAAATCCAAAACCACAAGAAGCTTTAGGTTCTGAGAAACAAGCTCCTGAGGTAATTTGTTCTTGCTGGGGACATCAAAAATCTGCATCCATCTATTTTGGATTTGTGTGCTTATCATCAATGCATTCCTTTTTTTAGTCTCTCTTAAATGAGATGTTTGTCCATTTAAGATCCATGGTTTCAAGCTTGAAAATGCTGATAATGGTGCAGTTCCATTTTGACCCACGACCCTTAATACATCACAGGATCCGACATTTTTTTAGTTTTTTGTGGTAGTAGTTTGTTAAGTGGATAGTACCTTAGGATTGGAGGGATAGTGGGTCAGTTGTCTTGAAAGCTACTGTCGCTTTGTGGGATTTTGATGAGGCTCCTGAGTTCTAACTAGAGTTTGTGTCTCTGCATGCTTAACATTTGCCATGTTCATGAGAAAATGTTAGCATTTGGCAAGCTGGGTATGTTGGTATCTATCAACTAAAACATTAGCTACATTCTCAGCCTATTTCACACTTTTGTTTGCTTGGTACTATACTAGCTTATCTCATCTTCTTTTCATCCTTGGATTGGTCAATCTCATCTGATTTGGATCAAATTTGGCAGCCTTTAATTACAATGTGGTTTATTCCCTAGTTGCACAATTAGGCTGGAATCCAAGCTGTAAATGCTTCTGAAACCTATTATCAGGAGATATGGTTTTGATAGGAACTTTTAACTTTCTGGTGAACTGGTTCAGTAGTTCTTATAATTCACATGTATGATTAGTTATTTTATGTTTTATATTTATGTTTATGATTTTCTTGCGGCCACCAATTAGTTGAGACAATTCAGCCATTAGAAGCAATGCTGAAAATGGATGCATCCAATAAGGAAGGCAGAGCGCATTACTTTGGATGATGAAAGCAGCAACCAGTAAAATCCATCCTTAGTTCCCTAAGAGCCTCAAAGTATTTAAACAAAATCATTTTTAATTGCATGCTTGCACCTTCTTGCTAGGTTTTTCATTCTTTGTCTTTCGTATGTTTGACATATCTGATCAGAGGAATGCTGAGTCATATGAACTCTTCTCAACTCTTTACCCTAAATGTCCTTTACTAATGTAATTATTGGTTAGGCTTTCTTTGCATGCTCGAGTGCGTCTTTCTCAATCAATTCAGGCTTTGTTTGAGTTTTTGACACAACCAGAAAGCAAGCTATGTTAGAGTTGGTCCACTTGCTTTATTTGAACAGGAAAGATAGCCAAAGCTAACAATTTGAATCTTCACATAGAAGGCCTGCTTCCTTATACTCTTCCCTTCATTTGTTGAGTTGGAGGAACCCATAGGAGGCCCACCCCTTATCTCTTAATTGTTTTGGATACAATTTAGTTATATTATACATCACGGGCATGTTGGAAGTTTGTGCAATATCAAGAACTTTGCTAGCCTCTCTCTTGACCAGTGGAACTTTAATAGCTTGAGTTCACACCCAAATGAACTACTGCTAGCCACAGTCATTTGGGGTTGAAACAATGTTAATAGTAGTGGATGGAGGGGATCAAAAAGCCTAGGTAAAAATCAAGGGTACTAGCTCTTATGTTTCTTGCTTAGCTTTTTACGGTTTGAATTGAGTGAACAAGCAACACATTGCCTACTTGAAGGTGTAAAATTTGGGCGCTCCATTCGAGCTCTCACCCAAAGCTGTTAGTTAATTATTGCTTTTATAGGTAAATCATATCTGACTTTGAATGTGTTCTATATAGATGCTTTGATTATTAGAATACCCATCAATGATCTATTGTTGCTTTACGCCACTTTAACAATAAGGTATTCATTCAAGTGGCAGAGTTTGGTTTTGAAAGATAAAGATGAGACCTATTCTCAATATCAATTGAATGTTTACACCTGGTAATTGTGAACATATTGGTCAAAGTATCTGGTTGGCAATATAGTTTAGCATTGTTGCCTAGACATGCACAAAGAAGGTAGAGCATAGCGCCCTTGTCAATGGTCCAAATAAAGGAATGCAGCAGAAGGTGGGGAGATATCTCAACAGAAGTAGGAATTTGAAAGTTGGCTTCTTATTTGATTCTGGATAGATATTCTGATTGAAATTGTATGTGGCATGTAGACTTATAAATTTGAAATTAAGGCTATTTTTTAATAGAGAACAAGTGCAGGAACTTTTCTCTCCCCTTTTTTATTTCCCTTTTATTGGGTCCCCTTGTTGAAGTATAAATACATCAATTAGGTGGTGTTTGATAAAATTGAAAATTAAATAAGAAAAACAAAATTCTGAATTTTAAATGCTGAATTCTGAATTTTATAATCTAAAACTGTTTGGTATGTAGTGAATTGGCTCAAACTTATTGATAAGTATAAGGAACTGAAGTTTGAAAATAAATAATTTTTTAAATTTACCTTAAATTGTTTACTTTAAAATTCTTTATTAAATATGCAAATTATCCAACAAAAAAAATCATGACATATCACTGAAAATCATTAATCAGTAAATGATGATAACTTACATTAGGGTACAAAAAACATTTGTGTCATGATGACCATGCAATTCCATTTCCATTTCTCAACAAACTAGATTTCAGTTGTAAATCAAGTGATAAACATAATTGCAAGAACATGAGAGTTTCTATAATTCTATGTATTATGAGTGCATGAAGTCTTTTTGGGACCAAAAGCCGAACATTTTGAATGCAAACTCTCCAATAGTGACACCTATAGGAGGATGTGTTCTAAAGCCCATGAGATTTTTTTGTTTTTATTTTCTTCTAATTTTTTAATACTGGTGTAATCACAGACAAAGTGAGATAGATTATGAAAACACCGATATATAGGGATGTATATGTGCTCAACCTTGCAGCACTTGCAAAGAAGGAGCAAGTGGGTGTACACGACCTCCCGAAGTGAGGCATCTCTCTCTCTCTCTCTCCCTCTCCGTGAGTGGATTTGGATTTGAAAATTGGGGATTTTGGAGTTAGGGTTTGTGGGCTTTCGACCCTCAAAATGAAAGCTTCTGAATTGTGGGAGTAGGTTCAAAGTTAATGAAAGAAACAATGTAGGCACTGCCAGAGACAAGACAGGCGAGTGACTAACATTGACGATCTGACAAAAGGAAGCCATGGAGGGCAAAGTTGTCATACTGCAAAAAGTTATAAAACCCATCAGACTTGGGCGGGATTTCTAGCTGGCTCCTGTTGGTTTCCAAAAATATTTTTGTACTTATTTAAATATTTGCCAGTCTAAGGAGTTGCTGCATTGAATTCTGCATTTGTCTTTGGAATATACATCGTGCAATTTCATTTTTATTGCAAAAAACAGAAACATCTTTTCATGCCATGAAGTAAAACTTGTACTCGTTAACAACTTAGTTGTACACCTTAGTTGTTAGTAACGTACGATACGTTTCAATATATTATAGGAAGAAAATGATACATATTACTTAAGTATGCATTTATACTGTACTGTGCAATATACAATATGGTTCTTCCGATATGAGATGATACATACGAGTCATCCAATACAGGGGAAATAGATCAATTTTTTTTGGATTTTAACCAAAAACCGTGTATTCACATGGATTTATTTTTTTTAAACACTAGGGAGTAAAAGGACATCATTTTACTATCTAGGTTCCTTTAGTTAAAAAAAAAAACTATTTAGGATTTTAAAAAACAGAAGTCTTCTTTTGTTGTTTGTTCTATCACAATAGCATATATTTGATTGTTAAAAGTGACATACTCTGGCTCCTCTAGATGTTTGAAGTTAGAACTCTCAAAATTTTGATATTGATAAATTATGTTAGCAACTGGAATACTTAGATTGTTAATTTTTAATTTTGGTGCTTGTGGTCTCTTTAAAATTATTTAATGTGAGAAATTTGTGGTGTAATGAAATGTTATTATGATTTTTTTTATAGGTCTATTTATGTTTTAATTTTTTTTATAAAATTGCATATATCTTACGATACACTATTTTTGAAAAACGATGCATATTTTGACGACCTTAGATGTGAATGGTTCATACTATAATAGCATAGATTACCAATTGTGTTTGGCCAAACAACAATATTGAAGTTATTTTTGGTTTCTTTTTTCTCTTTACATGCTTGCAGCTTTCCCTGAGGTGGAGTTGGCGTTGCTGCAACAAGTGCTGAATCTCACACCAGAGCAGTTAAGTTCACTGCCACCAGATCAGCAGCAACAAGTCATTCAGCTCCAGCAGATGCTTCGGCAGCGGACTTAGTTGACAGGTTCACACATCATTAGGTCTCTACACAAGCCACTACAATGCTCACAATTTATAAAGGGCTTATTATTACCTCATTGTTTTCAGAGGGTATAAATTATTGGCAGATCTTATTTGTATTGTAAAGACAGAGAACTGTAAAATTCATAAATGGTTGGCTATTGTGGTTAGAAAATACCAATGAAATCAAA